TCTGGTACACTAAAGCAGCATACCCTAGAAGAACTGTTTGTCGCAAAAAAAAGAAAATGAGAAGAATCGGTATGAAGAGGAAATAAAAACTTGACGAAGATCTAAAAAGAAAAAATGTCATGCTCAATGACGCTGAAAGGAAATAATCTGCCAAAAGAAAAAGTAGATGAACAACGCAGTTTTTACATACTTAAGACGAAGGAAATTACAGCTAAACACATTAAGCGACAAGGTTTTTTGCCATTTTCAACCTTATACTGAGATAACTCTAAATGCAGCTACCAATAAAAAAAAAGCTAATTAATTGAAAAATTTCAGCTGCTTACGGAATGCTCATTTGTTTTTGTTTTTTATTTTTTAAAGTCACTCAACAAAACATCAAAAAGCGTTTTAAAAATGGCTTAGGGCAAACTTATAAGTTGATTCTTCATACTTTATAAAGAGAGTATCTATAAGCGAAAGTGACGGCACTAACAGTCGTCGTCTATTCACCAGTGAATTCCTTTAGAATTTGAAAATTCTGAAAGAAAATTATTGCATTGAAAACTGTGTCAGCAAATTTTTAAAAGAAAATAATATTCAAAAAAAACTCATCTTTTGGAAATATGTTGTATAGTTTGGTTAACAACAACTTCCTGTCTTGTAGATCAAAGCAAATACACTGCGGTGCAGTTACGAAAACCAATTTTTGTTTTGTTTTTGAAAGTTCAATAAAGTGTTAAACGAATGCTGTTAAAGTTATTAGATTTATAAGTTTCGTTTCATGACCTGCTAAGTTTGTCAACCAAATAAAATTTTATCTTTATAGAGGCTGTATGATCTAAACATGCTACCTTAGCAGCATGGTACAACAGTCGATAGTTGATATTTGAGGTTGTTACACCGGAAAAACAGAACTGTCCCATAGCACGAGACACATCAGAAAAAAAAACAAACAATTTGAGTTTATTTATTTTAATTCTTTCTATACGCCGTTCTATTGGCTTCATCCTATGTTTTTTCCAGCAGATTCTCTACATAAACGGAAATTAAAGACATATGACGTTCAAACTTGTTGCAACGCACAAATAAAATATCTTGACACAAACAAGCGTGGATCGCACTGAAACACTACTTGTTTTACTTGAGCAGTGACCTGTGTTAGTCAAGAACAGACATTTTGGCCGCTAAGGTGTTGCGTGGCAGAATAAAATCTAATAATACCTTAGTGTAGCTGTTATAGCAAAAGATATGAATTAAAGTTTGACGCCTGATAAAAATTTGGAAAAAAAAAGGCTTCTGGGTAACTCAACTACATAAATTTGTATATACTGCAGTATTGTTAAAAGTTAACAGTTAACTTTTCTTTGATCTGTTCTATGGGTGTAATTGTTGCTGTTTTTCGGTGTTCTGTAACAACTGTCTTCAAACTGGTACACACTGCCTGTACGTTTATCGACTTTTCTAGACAGTTTTTTTTTATTACAAAGCTTCTATTACCTGTCATATCATCACCTGAACTAAAGGCGACACATATTATTTAGAGTTTACCAAAGTTTAAGTTCATTTAAACCTGTTGTGCATAGAAAAAGTAAGTGCAAAGAGAACAAGTCAAATCAATTCAAAGCTGTTGAAGGAAAGCCTGTTTATGTAGTTTTCAGGTTAAATAATAAATAAATAAACTTGGTTTTTTTTTATTTTCGGGGTTGTATTTAAAATGTTCAGGAATAATTACAATTACTTTTTTTATGCTCTTGTTTTATTAAATTTATTTATCTAACGTGTTTTGTATTTATGCAGGTCTTTTCGCAGATTAACGTGACTTGAGCTGAACTTTTGTGGGTGAATGTGGGTGCATGATGTGTGTGTGTGTGTGTGTGTGTGTGTGTGTGTGTTTGTGCGATGTGTGATGTGTGATGTGTGATGTGTATGGTGTGTGTACATTGTATTTGTATGTACGTTTTATTCCTGGACATAGTGAAAGCAAAAACGAAGCTGCTAAAACGTCGTAAGACTAGATTGTCAACCTGGAATTACCTTTGTTTCCTCTGAAAACGAGTTTTCTGTTGAAAGCTTATGTTACGCCAACTGAATTAACAAACAGAGAACTCACTCATCTGGCCTTAGGTTTTCAGCAATGCTTCAGTTCCTGAGTGCTCATTCGTAAGCATAACAGTCGATACTGTTGAGCTTGATATGTGCTACTATTTATTTGAGAAGCATAATGTGGTTATAATTATTTGAATATTTTGATTTTAATTTTTCTCTGTTGCAGTTCACTTTTTCTTTATAATCTTTTTTTTTCGCTTTATACTTGAAGTAAACAAATTGAAAAGGTGTTCAGCAAATTTTTGGTAAGAAATTTTGTTTGATAAATCTGTTCTTTCTATGTTTTTGATTGAAAATATTTGTTTAAATTTGATAGGTAAACTTAGTCTTTTGTGCTATAATTTTAAGTTGACTTCATTTAAGGTGTATTTAACAATTACAAGAAATAATATTAATTTTTCCAATAAACCGATTTCATGCACTAATCTGATGTTTTCTGGTGCCACATACATTAGACTGCTATTCGAAGCTGTTGGCGTAGTTTGAACAACTGACAGTTTATCAATGTCTGTATCTTTCTTTATCTAGTTTTACAATAAAATATTTTATAACAAATAATTAGATATCAAATGTTCTGATAATATCCACTAAAATTTGAATTCTTCCTTCGTTGAAGAGTTCGTAGCATAATACTTATTGGGTTTTAAATATATAGTTTTGTGAACATTTCAACATTTGGCTGACTGTTACTGTAAAATTTTGTTTTGTTATTATGAATAGAAAAAGCAAAAAAGTTTGTAGGTTAAATAACTATTCCTTTAAAGTTTGGTATATAATAATTTAAAGAAATTTCTTTCTCTTTTTTCAATCATCTTTTTCTATTTTTTTTGTATGACCTTGGAATTTTTACAGCTACTGTTGTAGATCTCAAATATTCTACACCAGTCCAACCGAGGTAACTGTTACAACTGTTTTTTCCTCTTCCTGTAAAGTTTAGATTTTTTATCATTTTACTTTTTAGAAGATAAAGTTGCAAAAAAAAGCAAAAAAAATTAGACAAAATAAAAGATACAGTGATAAAAACTACTGTATTATTATTGTCTATTCTTTTTTTCAGTTATTATACTCTATAAAAACGCGGATTTTTGAAACGAATAGTTGATTTGTAACACTGCTCAGTTGTCCGTTTTTGTAAGTTTAATGTCTAATTCAAAATGATAAAATTTAGAAGAAAAGGCGTTACTTTAATCAATCTGCTGTTACTTAACGTTTAACATACGAAATTAGATATCGACTGAATTTCTAGCAGTAAAATTTGAAGAAAAAAAGTGATTAAGTAGGTAAAGCTGAAAAAGTTTTCTGAAAAAAAAGTAGAACAAAACAAACACTCTTCGTCTTTTTTTACTATTTTTTGAAGCTCTCTTTAATTAATTTATCAAATCGAATAGGAAAAGACTTTCTTCGGCATAATTTATTCAATTTCTACTCGATTATTTGATTTCCAGTAAAATCTGTTGATAGTGACGTATAAAATTGTTATCTTTTTGTATTTGACTTATTATATTTGCGATGATTCAAGAAAAGTAAGAAATTTTTAAAAGTTTAATTTTATTGTTCAACAGTTTTGTTTACCCTTCAACGTTTTCTTCTTTTTCTTCTGCTAAATTATTGGTATTGAAGCAGAATACTTTTTTTTTGTTTGTAACCAATACTCTTCTTTATTCTGCTCAAGAATTAATTTAGAGTAGGTATTACGATTGGTCAAAAATAATAATAAATTTTTTTTTTGTTTTTAAATTAATCTTGCGAAAAAAGTTAAAGTTATAGAATTTTTATACAGCAGTGCGATTAAGCGTAAAAGCATCGTTTTTTACGAATACCTAAGCGGTATCATCAATATCGGCAATCACAGTTAAGCTTCAGTGCAGCACAATTTAGTTGATGACGGCAGCTTACAAGTTCTGTCGATAAAAGTGCTCAAAAATGACAGAAAAGCTAACATGATACAGGTTTTTACTGTTTGTCATTGAGACTTTTCTAAAATAAAAAAAGAAAAAAAAAGTATATTGTAAACTTCATCTGAACTAAAGTTGTTTTTAAAATTTTGCATATCGTTCAGAAAGTTGAGCGTATTCTGTTTCTTATGTATTTTTCAGCCTTATAATTTTATGTCTCTTACCAATTGCCGGCGTTGGTGACAATAATGGTAATAGAGATGGATAATAATAATCACTCTGAATTACAAGCTTGTTCTTACAGATTTGTTTTCAGTTTTTTCCTCTACCTTTTTCTCCTTGTCCAGTCTTAAATTCTTTCGTCTTTTTAACTTTTACCAATATTTGACGTGTGCTTTGTAGTTTATGCAAACTTTTGCTTACAACAGCTGTTATAAGTCAGCCAAGACGTTAGCTTAACAAGTAAATTTATATAAAATTTTCTTCATAAATTTCTTTATAACGGTTTCGACAGTAATCGACATCGGTTCTATATCTCCAAATTTGTTTCTACTGTAGTCGTTTAACTACTACTTTCAATTAGTTGTTCAAATATCGGTTCAGAAAACTGAATTATAAGCATTCAAAGAAATTGAATAACAGGAAGAGAGAGAACTTTATAGACTTGTATTACTCTGCTGCTAGAACAGAGATGTCAACATATTTGTCACCAATATAAGTAAATAACCATAATAAAAAATTGAAGAACAAAATAACGTACTGTTTTTTTTTTTTTAAATTAAATTATTTAGTTACTTTTTTTGGTATTTTTGTTAATAATTTAATTTCTTGTTTAGAATGACATTTGGTAAAGTTGTTGTCGGTTATTAGCAATAGATAATTTAAATCTGTTTTTATTTTGGCTGTATTTTTCTGCTTTAAACACTATCAATCACCACTTGTAAAAAGTCTTTGTTTTCTTGCCTCCTTTACGATTCCTTAACAAATTGAAATTTAGGTAAAAATATCAACAGCAGCATGTCGGTGGAATTAGATTTTAAGCAAGAAAACGAAATGCCAGTGATCTTTTTGAGCGTTTTACTTGTTTTGTTGGTGTTACTGGCCGCCGCTATTTGGGTTGCATTTTTCAGTGCCCTTCGTAAAGCGCTTAGCAGGTTTGCAGAACTGAAACGTCACAGACGACGTCAGGTAAACTACCTAATTTTGTAGCTTTTCTTATTAGCTTTTTTTCGCTATGCTTCTTATTCTATCTTCACCTTTTTTTTAGCTAAACTGGGCTAATTTTATGACTAAAAATATTAAAATTAGTATAATATTGTGGCGTTTGTTATAAATTATTTCAGGTATTAGTGCTTGTTCTATAAGTTTTATAAAAAAAACTTAATAATAAACTGATTACTAAGTTTAGTTTTATAAAGTAAAAGAGAAACTTGTATTTTCTAAAGTTTAAGAAAATTCTTAAATAGTTGCCAACAACATCTTTTCCTGGCAACAGTTTTTGACTGTAGCTTTCAATTGTTTCTGGAAAAAAATGAATTAGCAATACAAAAGAAACTGACGTATTTCTATGCTTTTTTTTGCAGAATATCTTAGCCACAATAGGAGAAAGATCAATGAACGGTCATCGGATAGCATCAAATGTTTTTGCAGCATTTCCTTTTGGTATCATTTTGAACACTGATCTTTTGTTGTATTTTTATTGACAAATACTCAGCTTCTTTGCAGCACAGAAAATATTGAAAACTTTTTGGTGTTTTATCTAACTTCTAATTTTAAGAGTTAGAACGCTCATGAGCACTGTTCAATTAAGTTTCAGACTGTAACTTTTAAATGTCTTTCTGAGATGACTAAAAATTTTCAATGTTTTTTCTACCTC